ATATAGATAAGGGTTTTTTTACCCCGTTTAACTGAACAGTTCAGCCTCAACCATTTAAGTTTCTGTTCGTTCTGGGTTTGCTTTTTCATGCAGATGGAATTGTGATTTCCACCACCCACCCCCCCATCTAAAGTGTCAGAATCTTGTAATCTGCACTAAAAAGATTACAAAACCAAATAATTCTGTAATTTTTTTTACTAATTATAATCTAGCAGTGGTAAATGCCAGGATTTTATTAAGTTAGACTAGCCTTCTTTCTCATTTAATTTGTGTTTATGGAGTTCTCATTTTAAATTTAAAAGCGACTATTACAGTTTAGTAGTACTGATTTTTCAGCATGCTATTAAGTAGCACCCATTTTTCATTTAGTTTATTGCAGCAGTCTGTTGGGGTCTTAAACAGCTGTGTAGAATGTTGCCTATTACTGAACTAGTCTCTTCCTTCTGCATAATGTCAAGCAGTTCATTAAAATGGGTTTTTATGGCATACTCGTTTTGAACCAGGGCAACAAAGATCAAGTTTTTCCGCCTTTGATCTAAGTTCTTTAACTTTCCAGGGAGGAAAAAGAAAATTTTGGATGATCAGAGAGGAACTGTGTTTTTTAACCATAACTTCTAGGTCTGTCAGTTTGTCTACAAACGCTCTTGAGTATCAAGTAAACATGCAGCCTCACATTCTGATGTGAGGTCACCAGATAAAGCAAAATAGGAACCTTGAAGTGCCAAGAGGCTATAATTTGTCTGTTGTCACACAGAAAGTAGGAAATAGACCTCAAGAAGCTTGTTCTGTTAGAAAAAAATGTGTCTATGGAGAAAAATTTGAATATGATGAAGGTCATTGATAATGAACAGAGTGCTGGCAGTGGATGGCTACTGCATAAGAAATGCTTGCATAAAATGTTTTGTCTGCAATTTTGATAAGAGTACTGTTGCAAGTTGCTGCTTGTTGATATTCAGTAGTTTTGTAAGTATTTCTATATTTCCATGCCCTCTGGTCAGGAAGTGGAGGGCGAAAGGAAATCTGAAATTGTTGTCCACCGTCAAAACCCTGCTTTGCAAAATACAGGGAAGCTAATTAATTGCTCAGTTTCAAGAAACTATTTTGTTCTGCATATAAGTGCTTATAAATTATGAAGGATTTTTCTTGCCTATCAATTTCTGCAAAGTAATTTTCATTTGAAACGTTATTTGCTGAAGGGGAGAAGGAATTAAAAAAAACACACTTGATACTCTCTTGACACAGTAGGTTATTTGTTTTATACAGCCTGTGATTAAATCAGGTAAGGTAATATTTGAAAAATAAAAACGAAAGAAACATGCTGTATCTTTGGAGGAAGATTCACCTTATTTTTCCCCATTTAATCAATATTCTGTATGTTAATACCAGCATAACCACGTGTGGTGGGTTAACCTTGGCTAAGGGCCAAACTTCCACCAGCTCCTCACTCACTCCCTCTCCTCAATAGAACAGGGGCAGAAAATAAGACGAAAAAGCTTATGGGTCGAGGTCAATACATGCAAACTGCTTACCAGCTACCATCACAGGCAAAACAGACTTGGCTTGGGGAAAACTAATTTAATTTATTGCCAGTTCAAACAGATTGGGGTAGTGAGAAACAAAGACAAAAATGAAGACGCAAGCTCCTCTCCTGCCCTTCCCAGGCTCAGCTTCACTCCCTCGCTCCAGACTCTCTTACCCCTCAACCCCGAGTTGTGCCGGAGGATGGGGAATGGGGGGCTGTGGTTAGTCCATAACAACCCTCTCTGCCCTGCCTTCCTCCTCACGCTTTTCTCCTTCTCCAGCGTGGGTCCTCCCACGGGCTGCGGTCGTTCAGGACAAACCTGCTCCTGTGAGGGTCCTCCACAGGCCACAGTTCCTCCAGGGAATATCCACCTGCTGCAGCATGGGGTCCTCTGTGGGCTGCAGAGGGGGATACCCGCTCCGGCGTGGGGTGCTCCGTGGGCTGCAGGGGCATAAGCTGCTCCCCCGTTGCCTTTCCAGGGGCTGCAGGGGAATCCGTGCTGGAGCACCTCTTCCGCTTCCTCCTGCTCTCACCTCGGTGCTCGCAGGTTGTTTCTCACACTTTTTCCCTTACTCCTCACTGTGGGCAATGTTTTTCCCTTTCTTACAGACGCCTTCCCTGAGGCACCACCATCCTAGCTGCTGGGCTCAGCTCTGCCCTGCAGCAGGTCCATTTGAACCAGCCCCAGCCTCTCCCCACAGAGACCACCCCTGCGGCCCCCCACCACTAGCACCTTGACACCTAAACACCTAGACCCAATAATGCTATTGTGTTGCTTTTGTAGCATGGGTTGCTGCTAGATATGCTATTTTACGCCACAGAAGATGTAGGATGGGTAACTGTTTTCCAGGACACATTTTCTTCAGAACAAAATGTTCTATAGGTTGGCCTTCACTGTACTGCAAATGCCCAAGCAGGCTTATATGCATTCAGAAAAAAAAGGAAAAATGGAAGAAAAAAAAAACAAACCAAAGCCCAAATCTTTAGGTCTACTTCTCATAGCATGGTCTTTTTTTTACCATGTTCATCTGTAATTGTTTACTTAAAACACAAAGAAGGTCCCAAGCTGAGAGGAGTGGCACATAATTATTGGAAATACACATTAAATCAACTTAGATTACATCAGATCCGTAGTTTTGTTAACTACTTGATCCAGACGACTGTGTATCTCCCTGAAGTTTAATGCCTCTTTTAAATGGCTTTGTTTGTCCTTGTGATATCTGGTTTTCTAGTGATTTCTGCTGTTTTGTGTTTTGAATAATCACTTTTTTCTAGACTTCCCAGATTTCATAACAGCAATTAGAAAGCCTGGTAGGAAGGCAGAATCTTCAAAGTATGTAAGATTTTCCGTTCATATTGATAAAAAAGATCTGAACAAGCTTAACTACCACAAATGGGTTTTTTCAATGTATAAGAGAGGTTACACCGGTTCCAGAATTGCAAATGGGTTCCTCTGCACCCAAATGCCAGGAAGTTTACCACTGAGATAAGCAGACTTAGGTAAGCTAGGCTGCTCTGCGGTCATGCATGATGTCTTCTGTACTAAACGTTTCCAGACTGTGGTATGCAGACCACTAATGTCACATGAGCAGTCTAAGTGATACACAAATACTGTTTGAACAGGCAGGTGTTGCTGCTTATGTACGTGCATAGCCTGCTACAGAGCTGGAACTGTTGATGCTTTAGCCATCACAAATGATGGCATCTTAGGGGGAAAAAAGTTAGGAAACCCTTATAGACAGATTTGTAGGCACATTAAATTAAAAAAAAAAAGGAAGGCAAAACCCCCAGATTTCTCAGCAACTTGTGTATACTGGATATATATAGTTTCCATCTTCCTTCCCTGTCACTGGGCATCTTAAAAAGAGAGACTTTGGGTCATCCAAGGAGATAATTCTTCCCCTCAGATTTGTGAGCTGGAAGATTTGGCTTTGAGGTTTCTGAGCTAGGCTGAAAGATACGTCATAAGCCCATAAATTGTGTATAACCAGCAAGAAGAATTAGTAATCTTTCTCCTTGTCTATCTCTGTCTTTCTCTGTCCAGAGTTATTATCATTTCCTGGTAAATATCCTTCTTCTTCCTCCAGCGATATGAGGGATGAGCTGGACTTGCAGCATCTTAGGTCCCATCTTTCTGACATTTTTCTAATCCTTGCAGATGCAAGAAGGACTGAGTGGGGACTAGTCAGCAGAGCATGGTTAGAGCGTATTCCTGTATTAGGTGATATAAATGAAGGATGGTCTTTACTGAGTAAGCTACTGCTAGAAAGTCTCCTAGGTGTTTGTTACCAGTGCTGTGACTTTGCTAACTTGCATTCAAATGGTGAGCAGGATTGGCTAGTCTAGCAAAAGTCTCTTTACAAGAGAAGACTGGATTAAGTACGTGCCATGCGAACACCTCGGATTCTCTAGACTGCATTGTAAACTCTCCTAGCCAGCGCAAAAATGCTGCAAGCCTTGAATGGAGCCTTTGAAGTCCACTGTAGTATCAGTGAGCAAAAATAATTTATGAAGGTGGTACAAGTGGTGGTACAGTTTGCCACAGTCGTGAGGTTTTTCATTCTGATGGCACTTGGTGGAACCAGGGTAGGCCAAAGACTACAATATTTATAAGTGTCAGTGATGCCCTGAGCATTCAAAGCTTAATTCTTGCAAATCCTTTGCAGTGGAAACAAACCTCTTTGCAATATGAAACATTTATAGAGAGATATAAAATTTTTGTTGCTTTTATTCGGCTTAGTGTGTTACACAGAAATTTAATGAAGTAATTCTAAGCGGTGTATCCACTCAAAAGATAACTTGGTACTAATTATCTTTTGTTTCCAAGGGTGTACGTTCATTACCAATCCAAAATCAGTACTGTCCCAGAACCGTTGCTGTGTGGCACTCTTTGAAAGCACTCTGTGAAACAAATTAGCATTGTCTTTTTATCTGCAGGAAGATGCTGCCTACTTCAAATAAATGAACAACACATTTGCTGGTATTTTGCATTCTTGTTGGCAGTTTCAGTAGACTGGCTAAGGTTTAAGCAGAGCATCAGACCCAACTATGCTCTTGCCAATTAGAGGGAGCTTTTTCCAGTAAGCAATGTAGACTAGAACTCTACAATATCTTTGTACATGCTCTCTGGATAAAAAATTCCTGTTTCAAAGTTGTCCAAATTGATATTTTTACTTTTATGTGGCATGTATCACTGACGCGTCTTAGTACTTTTCTGTACATCTTGTTTCACAGTCTGCAGGGTAGGGCAGAACATTCCTCGCTTTATAAAAGTATAAACCAAGCAAAAGGGAAACTACTGATTTGTCTCACTGGATATATTTAATAAATACTAAACTTAAAAAAAAAAGAATTGTGTTAACAGTTTAACCCATGAACAGAACTTACTGAAACTGTATTAGTTTAATGCAGTGACAGTCTTCATTTCCATGTTTGACACACATCACTTTGACTTGATTGTGTTTTTATTTCTATTTAGGACGTGTAGGAACACCTCATTTTATGGCCCCAGAAGTGGTAAAAAGGGAACCTTATGGGAAGCCTGTAGATGTTTGGGGCTGTGGCGTGATCCTTTTTATCCTGCTAAGCGGTTGTTTGCCTTTTTATGGAACAAAGGAAAGATTATTTGAAGGCATTATTAAAGGAAAATACAAGGTAAATAACAGTATTCCCAAGTCCTTTTTCAGTGAGATGAGCTTTGCTGGTAAAATTTATGGAAGTTGATTTTTGTATTTAGACTGATTTAAATTTCATGCTTACAGAAATCTTGTCTGTGTTACACAGGGAGAGAGATTATTTTCCCTCTCCAGTCTATCTTGTTCCTGTTGTGTTTCGTGTAAATGTTAGAAATTTAAATACAAAAATATTTACTCAGCTGAAACAATAAATGGGTGCAACAACTAGCCCCTAATTGTACATGGAGCTCGGTAGGATTACAGAAGGTTAGCTGTGAAGTAGAACATACTGTATGTTACCTTAGTTTTATAGGTTCTTTAAAGTTTTTAATCAAATAAAAGAACTGTCATAAAGGCTAGTCGTCATATTGCCTTGATTTAAAACAAAATGCTTGTTAATGTAAAAATGTAGCTATGCATTTTTCTTTTTAGTACAGTTTGCAGTAAAGTACAGCTAATGATTTGAAAGGTGCCACTTGCAACTGAAAGCAAATTGGCGTGCATGCAAGATAAGCATGTTTCACAATATAAGCATCCTAGAGCCGTTATGGAGGCAAATTTAAAGCTTTGACTTCACTAGTTTTGTGGTCGTGTATAAGATCAGTTTTGTTCTACTTTGCAACCAAGGTCACACGTGAAATGTGTATTAGCAGATTAAGAGTGGAAACTCCTAAAACTGTCTGGTAGTCTGTAATATGGTTTAGGAAGTATTTTATTATATGACCTTAATAGTACTCTGCTAAAATGTAAGTGACAGCAGTGGTACTGCACTTGATCAGGAGCACGTTCTTCATTCTTTATATTCCTAGAAACAGCAGGATTTCTTCATGGCACTAGTTTTGGGATTGCATAGACTGGTAGACATTCCAGTTTCACTTCATGGAAGATTTCTTTATGGAATCTCTTAAGTTGCTAAAACCTTCTGGAAACATACAAGTTAACTTTTCTTTGTTTAAAAAAAAAGTCATGGCCAGCGCATTGTGTCTTCTCAGTTCCTTTTCTGTTCCTGTTTCCATGATAATGTGTCTACTCAGTGAAAATAGTACAAGGATTTCAAAATAGTCATGCTGCAAATTTGCAATTATCTTCATTTCATTAGAGCTGAAAAAGAAATGACAAATCACAACTATAAATGTGCGTTTCATAGCCAGAAAAAGTTCCTGAGTGCTCCAATTTAAAGCGATTATTTTTTCATAAAGACTGATTTTAAATAAAATGGACCTCTTCAAATGAAGATTTTGAATTTTTATTTAGTACCTTGTAAAATTGGCAAGGTAACATCTAAATAAAACTTAAGTTCTTCATAAATTAAAGAAACACTAGAAATAGCTTAAGGATAGAATCCTTTATCACAGAAGGAATTTTCTTTCTTTAGAACAGTTTTATCGGGTGCCCGTCATCTTGACTAGTAGGACACAAACCTGCATATGCAGAAGATGAAAATATCCTTCACATTGTTGTCTTGTAAAGAGACAGTTCTGCTCTAACATGTGTTGCAATTTCTTCTATTGTTGATCACATGTCAGTATGCTGTCCTACCTGAGTGGCTGAAGATGCTTAACTGTTGTAAAGTTTAAAGGAATTTATTGGGAAGAGCCATTGTCCATGATACTTGTGGGACAGGACCAGAGTAGTTCACAACAGGCATTAGCTGACTTCCTTCTTACTCAGCATCATTGGCATGAAATTGTGGGTTAGTATAGATAAGACTTTCATGCCGTTCCTTATATTGATTTCAGGAGTAGATTTGTTTTCTACATTTATCATATGCATAGTTAACTATCAGACAAAGCCTAATTATTTTTTCTTTTTCTAGTGAAGGGTCACTTTTATCTGAACAAAGTGTAGCATAGGTAGAAAATTATACTGGGTATGTCCAAGGATATGTCAGCTTTTATGTGATACAGTGCTCAGTGTTTTAATTTTTTTATGCTATTTCAATAGTAACTAGTGTACAATTTTGTAAGTTATTAAAACACTTCGGAAAATTCCTTTTACGTTTATGATGATAAAATGTTTACAAGTACCAACCACTGTTAAATCTCTGCAAATACTTTACATAAAAAATAGGTTCCTTTCTATATTCTTATTACTATTTTAATTTCTTTTTTCCTGCTGGTAATCAGATGAATCCTAGGCAATGGAGCCATATTTCTGAAAGTGCCAAAGATCTGGTACGCCGCATGCTTATGCTGGATCCAGCAGAAAGGATAACAGTATATGAAGCACTGAATCATCCCTGGTTAAAGGTAGTAAAAGCAGCTGTTTACGTACCAGTTTCCTCTTCAGAAGGGAAAAAGATTTATTGGTTTGTTGTTTGAACTTTTCAAAGTAGATGTGACATTGTACTAAATGTGTGATAATATGCTTTAAATGCTTTGTAACGTTAGAGCCTGAGATTTTGATAATTGCCAGGCATGAACTCTTGCTTAACAGCAAAAGCAAACTCACTTAGGCATCTTCAGCAGCACCAGAGTATAGGGAGTAGGGCTGCATAGAATAAAGCTTGAAGAAGGTATTCGTGTCTTTCTGTGGCTCTCAAACTCCGGAGGAGTAATTTCTGATCTCTTCTTTGCTTAGTCCTTTCTAGATCTCTTTCCTATTATGCATGTAGCCATGCAGTTTATTGCAGTACATTATGCTGCTTAACTGTGCTGCTTTCTTCCATTAAATTCCTGAAATATCCCACCAGAGTGAAGGAAGTATGTAGTGATGCATTGCTCAAAGGCCACTGTAACTGCATAAAATTATATGGCATTTGGTAATCAAATAATTTTTCAGTAGTGGCAGAATTTACAACACAGTTTGAGCCAGTGGAAGAGTAGTTGCTGAACACTGAAGATTAACAACATGAGCAGGAGAACATACACCTAGCTTCTGAGCAGTCTCATTAATAGACTGTGCTAAATATTGGAGTTGGAGAATGATGGGTGTGTTGCAGGTTTAAAAGGTGTCCAGTACTGGTTCAGAGCATTGTATTTTCTTTGGTAGAAACTGATGAATTAACTATTTTTCTTTGTTATCCTCTTTTTCTTTTCTTTAGTGTGCGCTCGGGGTAGAGAGTGTCATAATATCATTAACTTAAATAGGGCACTTATTTGGGAAGGGTGCTATTCTGGTGTTTGCTCCTGGGCTGTATATGTTCTACATTAGACAAATATTGACACACACAAAAAAAACCAAACATAAAAAAAGAACCTGGGAAGAGCAGGCTCGTGTGTTGTTCTTCTCCCTCCAAGTAAGTGATCTAACTACTACTGAATGGAGTCATTCTTCCAGTTCTCTGTCTTTTTCTGGCTCTGACTCTTAGATTCCAAGCTGCAGAATGGTCTGTCTTATGAAAAGAGGGGACTGGAGCATCTCCCCTACGAGGAGAGGTTGAGGGAACTGGGCTTGTTCAGCCTGAAGAAGAGAAGGCTGCGAGGGGACCTTATAAATGCCTACAAATATCTGAAGGGTGGGTGTCAGGAGGATGGGGCCAAGCTCTTTTCAGTGGAGCTCAGTGACAGGACAAGGGGCAATGGGCACAAACTGAGGCACAGGAAGTTCCGTCTGAACATGAGGAAGAACTTCTTCCCTCTGAGGGTGACGGAGCACTGGAACAGGCTGCCCAGGGAGGTTGTGGAGTCTCCTTCTCTGGAGATATTCAAGACCCGCCTGGACAAGATCCTGTGCATCCTACTGTAGGTGACCCTGCTTCGGCAGGGGGGTTGGACTAGATGACCCACAGAGGTCCCTTCCAACCCCTACTATTCTGTGATTCTGTGATTCTGTGAGGATTGTGCACCTTTCGGTAATGACAGTGGTTAAGGCACTCTACTGAATATCAGGAAACTGTGGGTTCAAACCTTTCCACTCGAAAGCAGCCAAAGTTTTGTCTCTTCGTCTGGGGCAGACATAGTGCATAAAATATTTCAAAGAGCATAGTAATGGAGACCATGTTTGGGAATCCCAAATGATCATACTCTAGTGAGTGAGTGTGTGGTAAACACAAGGTGATCTGGTTTTACCTGCTTGTAATTTGACATTTTCCTCGCTTTGTGAACTTACCCACATTTAGATGCCAGAGCAAGGGTTCTGTTAAGGGTTGCTTTGGCAGAAAACTTTGCCATTTTTGTTGTTTGAGCAACAAAATTTGGCTTTTTAAAAGGTAATTCCGTAATGTGAATGTGCAAGTTCTGCATATGTAGCGTAGCACTTTTGATGTCTGTGGTGCCTTTCTGATCTTACTGTTATTTCTTGAAAGACAAGCAAGGAGAGAGAAGATTTAGTTTGAGAAAACTTTGCTTCCAAGCTTACGCCTTTGTTCTGTCAGTCAGTCCTCTCTTATTTTTGCCTACAATGAACTGCCTTCCCTGTTGACTTAGAATTTTCTTCTAAACCTTTTATAGATAGCAGCCAAACACACCATAAGACAGAGAAATCTTTAGTGCCATAGAGAGACTGAATTACTTCTGCCAGTGATTTCACTCTGATTCAGAGGTGCATGTGATAAACATTTACATTAAATTAAAAAGTGTATGTAGCTTCTGTGATGCTTTGGGGCAGGGGAGGAAAGTAGTCACCTGCTGCAAGTTCTGCCCCACTGTCCGCTGTTCGTTGGCAAATTTTTGGTCTGTGTCTACAATGGAGAATTCTTCCTTTAAGCTAGAACCTGGTGTCACCAGCCATCAAACTGGCACTTCCTGCTCTGTTGGACACGTACTCTGTTTCCCAAGCTTACCTGAAGTATCAAGCACCCCTTAAAAGAGTGCTTGAAAACATTGCTTCACTGGAATTTGTGAATCCCAAGAAGCAGGACTACTTTGTTCTTGCCAGCTCCAAAGTTCAATGCTAGTCACAAACTCACTAACAACACAGCAGTAAAAGAAAAGGCTAGGGTCTTACTACATAGTAGGAAACAAAATTACAAAAAGAAAATATCCCTAGCCCAAGTTAAGGGTTCTTTCAAAATATTTTAATCCCTCTCAGTTTCTTGAAGTTTTCCTTTAGTTGCAACAAATCCTCATTCTCCTTAGGATACTTACTAGTTTTTCTTGTCTAGTTTCTTAACGTCAAGAGACTATTAAGAGCTTGTATTTAATGTTTTTTTGTTTTGCTTTTTGGGGGCTTTTTTAAGGAGAGAGATCGCTATGCATACAAGATTCATCTTCCAGAAACAGTAGAACAATTGAGAAAATTCAATGCAAGACGAAAACTAAAGGTAAAATGAATGTAGTGTTAAAAAAATATAACTGTGTAACTTGAATTTTGTGTGATACTTTATTCATTTTTGTGGTGGGTTGACCCTGGCTGGACGCCCAGTGCCCACCAAAGCTGCTCTGTCACTCCCCCTCCTCAACTGGACAGGGGAGAAAACAATACAACAAAAGGCTCGTGAGTCGAGATAAGGACAGGGAGAGATCACTCACCAATTACCATCCCAGGCAAAACAGACTCGACTTGGGGAAATTAGTTTAATTTATTGCCAATCAAATTGGAGTACGATAATGAGAAATAAAAACTAAATCTTAAAACACCTCCTTCCACCCCTCCCTTCTTCCCAGGTTCAGCTTAACTCCCAATTTTCTCTCCCTCCTACCCAGGAGCAGTGCAGGGGGACAGGGAATGGGGGCTGCAGTCAGTTCATCACACATTGTCTCTACCGCTCCCTGTCCCTCAGGGGGAGGACTCCTCATACTCTTCCCCTGCTCCAGCCTGAAGGTTCCTCTCACGGGAGACAGTTCTCCACTAGCTGCTCCAATGTGAGTCCTTCCCACAGGGTGCAGTCCTTCAGGAACAGGCTGCTCCAGCATGGGTCCCCCACAGGGTCACAAGCCCTGCCAGCAAACCTGCTCCGGCATGGGCTCCTC